GAAAAATAGGGCGTGATTCCTTGTCCTTGCGTGCGCCCGTGAGTATGCTTCTTTCTTGCCGTGCGTTAATTATGAGAAATTGAGGGAATTGTTTAAACTTATTAGGTACTGATTTTTGAGAGTCTGAAGCTACCATATAAAGCTTTAAGTTGGGACCAAATTTTTCTCAATTTCTCCCTTAATATAGAGGCCGATCGTAATTACCAAAAATGGGATGATGATGTAGGCTCAACGTGGCCTTTTTAAGACTTAACATTTGTTGCTTCATTAGCTAACTTGGGATGACTAATCACTCCCCAAATCATGCCACGTTTTGCTTCAAAAAGTGAGAACAATTAGCTTTCAAAATTGTAAAGGAAACTCACGGCTTTTGACCCCAATTAAGGAAAAACTTACGGTTTTATGAACTAAAATTGGGACAACCTCTAATTCCTCACGGCTTTAATCATTCATGTGTGATTAATTTGCTAATTAATCACTATAATATGTTTAATTATTAAATTAAACATAATACTCAATTACCAAACTTATTCCGGACGTAAACGGTACGTCGAAAATAAATTTCGGTAATCTCGATTTGAAATAATTAATTCCACAAATAATAAACGTTAACATTATTATATCGGAATTAAAACATAATTTATACCGATAAAATATCGGGATATTACAAGGGGCAAGTACGAAAATGTAAGCAACGTCTCCGGAAAGACTTGTTTTCGAACACGGAACCATTATTTGATGTGGATAACATATATTTATCGCCCCATCATATTTTGAATCAAAATGGTACACGTTTAAGAAAGACGAGGAAAAATAAGGGTAAATAGGGGCAAGTACGAAAATGTAAGCAACGTCTCCGGAAAGACTTGTTTTCGAACACGAAAACATTATTTGATGTCGATAACATATATTTATCGTCCCATCGTGTTTTGAAGCAAAATGGTACACGTTTAAGAAAGTCGAGAAAAATAAGGGTAAATAGGGGCAAGTACGAAAATGTAAGCAATGTCTCTTAAAAGACTTGTTTTCGAACACGACACCATTATTTGATGTGGATAACATATATTTATCGTCCCATCGTGTTTTGAAACAAAATGGTACACGTTTAAGAAAGTCGAGAAAAATAAGGGTAAATAGGGGCAAGTACGAAAATGTAAGCAACGTCTCTTAAAAGACTTATTTTCGAACACGACACCATTATTTGATGTGGATAACATATATTTATCGCCCCATCGTATTTTTAATCAAAATGGTCCACGTTTAAAGAAAGTCGAGGAAAATAAGGGTAAATAGGGACAAGTACGAAAATCTAAGCAACGTCTCCGGACAGACTTGTTTTCGAACACAACACCATTATTTGATGTGGATAACATATGTTTATCATCCAATCGTGTTTTGAAGCAAAATGGTACACGCTTAAGAAAGTCGAGGAAAATAAGGGTAAATAGGGGCAAGTACGAAAATGTAAGCAACGTCTCTGAAAAGACTTATTTTCGAACACGACACCATTATTTGATGTGGATAACATATATTTATCGCCCCATCGTATTTTGAATCAAAATGGTACACGTTTAAGAAAGTCGAGAAAATATAATGGTAAATAGGGGCAAGTGCGAAAATGTAAACAACGTCTCCGGAAAGACTTGTTTTCGAACACGACACCATTATTTGATGTGGATGACATATATTTATCGTCCCATCGTATTTTGAAGCAAAATGGTACATGTTTAAGAAAGTCGAGGAAAAATAAGGGTAAATAGGGGTGTAATGCCCCGTTTATTTATAAAATATTTGGGAATCATTTATATTATTATTGCTTTATTATTAGTATTATTATCATAATTATTTGACTAAATGTTATTATTATTATTATTATTATTATTATTATTATTATTAATGTGTCTAAATGTTATTTATAATAAATATTTATATATATATATATATTAAATAAATATTACCCGGTTGTTATTCTATTTTTCTCGCGATCCGTTTCGAGCCCGAGTCCCGGCCCTTAGTATCTTCGAAACCGCAACTTTGATATATGATTACCGACTCTTAACCCACTTATGGTGGAACCAAGCCTCATTAATTTTTATAAACCGACCTTTATAATCGTGAAACTGTGCCTTTTAATTTGAACCGAACCCGGGCCAAATAGCTTGCAGTTTGGGCCCAATGTTTAAGGCCCTAATTTTTCTTTTATGTTAATTAAGCCCTAAATTCAGTCCTTAAGCTTTCTCTCTCTCTCTCTCCATCTAATCCCGCAGCCACCACATCTCTCTCTCCCTACGATTTGTTGCGATCAGAAAAATTGAATCTCTCGCCTTCTCTGTACATCATCGTCTTCATCCTCACGCCATCGCACCATCATAAACGTTCTTCAATTTTCCATCATCGCCACCAATTTGCAGCAATCTTTAGTCTTCCCACAGCACGTCACCGTAATTCTTCTTCAAGTCCTTCAATTTGCAGTAGGTCGTTTCCAGTCGCAGCAAGCACCCTCCCCTCGCGATTGACGTGAACAACCGTGCCATCATCACCCCTCATATCGTCGCTGCGTTTCCGGCGAGAACCCTCTGTTCACTGCTCTGTTCCCGAGCTTCAATCGCTGCAACCATCACCGACGAGTCCTAACCTCCGCAGGTGAGCCCCGTCCGCTGCTATCCGCACGCAGACCCTTCCCGGCGAGCCCCTCCATTCGCGACCAACCGGCAGTCCTGCAACTCCGGGCCCTCCTCCGCGAACGACGGGCCTCACCACAGCAGCGTCCTCCATCGCTGTGAGCCGTTGTCCTCGAGCCCGCTGCTCCTCTGTGACTCTACTGGCGAGCCCAACACAGTCGTTGAGTTCTGTCGAGACCCGTTGGAGTGCTGAACGTCACCGTCGGGTCCCATTAGTTGCTGCCGGCCCCCGCTGATCCCTCGCACCACCCGTCGGTGAGCCGATGCTTTACCGTCGAATCCCGTCGGTGTATTCGGACAGCCGTTTGAGCCCCGTTCGGCCCTTTTCCTTGCTCATTTAGCTTATCGTGTCCCGAGAATGGTATTCTTTCGAGTCCGGGCTGATTTATATTGTTGCTCATTATTATCGAATTAACGTATGTAATAATTCAAGTGAAAATCGTAAGATGTTGTTTTCTATGATGTTTAAATAAGACCGAGT